TGCAATTTGGAATAAATAAGCACTTGTAAATTTTTTCAAAGACCACAAATTGCATTCGCCCTAAGAATAAAAAGGATAAAACTGAGCCGTGATTGCTTCTCGGAGTGGGAGGCTGTTCCTGCAGGGGGTACCACAGGGCACAAAATTGGGCCCCTGGCTGTTCCTTATCATGATAAAATTAATAATCTTTCTGTAGCAGACACAATTCTTTGGAAATACGTTGATGACACCACTCTTGTCGAATCCGTATTGAAGAATGAGTCTAGCTACATGCAGTTACGTGTAAATGAACTTGTAAGACAGTCAGAAGCTGATGGTTTCCAATTCAATGAGTCTAAATGTAAAGAACTGAGAATATCATTCTCCAGATCAGGTAGTCTGTTTGATCATATTACTATCAATGACAAGCAAATCGAAGTTGTTTCATCCGCAAAGTTGTTAGGAGTGATAGTCTCGGACAACCTCAGGTGGAACGGGCATGTAGAATCTATAATTTAAGCAAAAACGCTGCAAAGCATCTGTACTTCCTAAAACAGCTAAAGCGTGCTAAAGTTCCATCTGAGGATATGCTACTTTTCTATACAACATGTATACGCCCTGTATTAGAATATGAGTGCCCAGTTTTTCATCATTCTTTGCCGCAATATCTGTCTAATGAAATGGAAAGGTTGCAAAAATGGGCGTTGCGGATGATTCAACCTGACTTCTCCTAACTGAGGCTCTAGTAGCTCTTGACATTGCATCACTGTATGAGAGGAGGGAGATCTTGTCTGATACTCTATTTGATCAGATTGTAAGGGACGAAAGCCACAAGCTCCATGATCTCCTGCCTCCATGCAACGAGTCCACCTATTGCACCCGCAGCCAAAGATACTTCAAGCTACTGATTTGTAAGACAAATAGCTTCAAAAACACATTTATCATGGTGAACAGTTTTAATTATTAGTAGCTATCTTAATTATTTGTATTTTGGTTTTTGATACTTCTCCTATTGTATTTTATTGTAGATTACATTTTGCAGCTTTTATTGTTGTTATCTTGGAGTAAGAGATAATTTATTCCCATTGTAAAGTAAGTCGTTGTAGTGTTTGTAAGGTACACTTCGTGTGCCATACATGATGTAGGTAAGCAGGTAATGTAAGAGAGGATTGAATCATTAAAGTAGCATGGCAGATGTATAGATTAGATTCGTGTGTATCCATTTCCATCGACTTTAGAATGTGACAGTCGTGTTTTAGCCCGCCCAGGGACTGCAATAATTTTACTTCCTAATAAAGCTATCTATCTATCTTGCCCCTTTTCACCCAGGTGTGTAAATGAGTACTGGCAATTTAATGCTGGGGGTAACCCTGCGATGGACTGGCATCCCATCCAGGGGGGAGTAGATTTACTCCTAGTTGCTTCATGCTACAGAAACCGGAGTTAAGCACCCGCCTAATGGGCCACTAGGCTCATAAACAGACTTTAACTTTACCATCTCTCTTGCCCCTACAGGCTCATGCAGTTTTGTTAGTCTTTGAAAAGATTTACTCGAGCTTATTTATTCCAAATTGCACTCAAAATCATTTGATTACCTATACAGATTGTAACAGCAACTTTCTTCAGCATAATAAGACATTAAGTTTGGCAGTCATGTACAAAGATATAATGTTTTCATGGTCTGAAGTCAAATTCATTTGAGAATATTAACACTTTGAATTTGTAACAAAAAAAACTACTCATGTTCTGTCCTCTTCTTTAATAAAATTTTTTTTTTCATGGTTCCCAAATATTGTCTTTAGTTAAGATTTCAAATGAATATACAAAAATGAATGCCAGTCAAACCTAAGGGAAGTTGGTGTGGTCAGTGATCCAAGTATAAGGGGTTTAGTTGAGCTTTGGGCCTGCTACTAAGATCATATGTAATCCTGAAATTCATAGGATTTTTGTACCAGAAAGGACTTAATAAATAAACTAAATAGATTGGTTTAGTAATTAAACATATCAAAAGAACATCAAGATTTTGATACATGTACTTACTCAAGCTGTTCATTGCTATTTTCAGATTACTCTGATTTCTCATACAGCAGTGAAAGTAACATCATAGTTCGAGAATTCTCATGATCAAGGGAAGCTCCTCTCAGGAAAACTCTGACAATAACAAATTGAATACACATATTTAAAGCAACACAAGACAAGCATACAAGTTTTGTGCTGCAAAGTACATGTATCTTAACAAAGTACCAACTAGAATACATGTATTGTACATTTGGACTACAAGCATACAGTCAACAATATTATAAGAATATTTGGGTCTTCTAGAAGGATAAAGTGAATCAGCCTATGAAAATCATTCTCCAATCCTAGAAAAACAGACTGTGTTCATCTTGTACATAAGGTGTCGTTCAATGGAACTATAAGGTGTTAGTATTCACTGTCCATCCATTATGACCCTAATTGTGACATCAGAAAGTGCAATATCATCGCTATATGTGGGAGTAAAAATTGCAATTTTTCTTTCACCTGTACATTGTCATATCTTTTGAACTGCATTTGGAACCATTTGTAAGAAAATCACTGATTCCATTACGCAACTTGTAGAAGCATTCCTCCCTGAGAAGTCTGGAGTACGTATTTAAGTATTCCTCCTCTGAACTGTATGGTCGTTCCTTTCTTATCTTTGGCAAGTCGTCTGTCTTCAATCCTAAATATAAAGACTACATGAGTATTTGTGGCACATGTACAACACTATCAAAAGAGCCTTTGCAAGCTTTTATAAATTTATGTTACACATCTGCAATTCCCCTGAACTCCACTATACAGTTGTTAACAAAACTTATTACCATAGCAACTAGCCTTTTCTCTATCATAACAAGGTCACCATTCAGACCCTATGACTCCTAACTCTTGTTCAGAGCTAAGAACACAGCTGTGCAATGGACTACTGTAGGTTTGAAAGTTAAATTGAGAGTTTATTTTCTTCTACCACAGAGTAAAATTCTACTCCTGAAATAGGTACTCAGGCTAGTTCATTTCTTAATCAAAATTTGGTTTCTATTGTAAGCTCAAGTTTGTCGTTACGCCTGGCAGTTTTCATGAGCTAGTTTAGGGCCCAGCCCGCCGCAGCTAAGCCACATGTGTTATGGTTGCCATTTTTAGTGATGACCTTGAGTAAGTCGAGTTAGTTCAAGTTTCTTAGTGTGTTCTACATTTTATCGGGGCAAAATGTGTTTTGTAAGTACTATTCCTATTGTTTGGTTCATTTTCGATTCAGCATTTCCTTCCTCCATTGCATCATTTGTTTCAAATTCCTTTTACCTTTTAGGAACCATGCAATCCTTCAAGTAAATCACAGTGAAATTAAAGAAGATTGGTATGCGTTCAAAACTTATTTGTGTCCCTGACAGATTTAAAGTGTTTTAGCACCTACATCTATAAGTGACATTTGATTCCAATAGCTTAGATTTAACAGGTATTAATAACAATAAAATGCACTCAATACAAGGGCTCAAACATCAAAAGATGGACCCACCTATAAAATTAAAAAATAAATTCAATATTAAACTCTTACTGGGTTCACGAATCTCTTCCACAACTGGTATCAAGGGAAGATCTTTCCACTGCAAAGCCTGAATGTCTTCACTCCCTTGAGGCACCTCTAAGGCAATAATGGATGACAGCTTTGTTATAAAATCTATAGCTGCTCGTCCATTCTCTATGGCTGTTTCGAAGTTGGTGGAGTTGTCCACTAACTTATACATAAGAGCTTTAGCCATTGGTAAAACATGTGGACCAGCAGCAGGAAAGGCAGTGATGACATGTTCCAGAATCCGCTGAACCAAGCTGAAAATTTAACAATTGACAATTAATTGGGAAGAAAATGTAAAATATTACATTCGCTGTAATTAAATAAAATTAAATTATCCTTTCCTCTCATCACCACCAGCTTATTATCAGAAAAAAGATGACAATGTATCATCTGTATAACCTGACATGTACCAAATACAAAAGAGAAATTGAAAATAAAGAACCTCATTATAATATAAAATTTAGAAACAATCTGCTAGCATACAAGAAAAAAGTTCAGTAAAGGATCTTCAAATCATAAGCATTTCACTCCCAAGATCTAAATAGTGATTCTCCACACTGTTTGTCACTCTTCCCTCATAATTTTAGTTCTAAGAATTTAGTAGCCAATAATAATAATAATAATAATAATAATTTAATATTTATATTGTGCAAATTAACATGTAGATATGATCAAAAGCGCATCACAATACTTTTAGGGGGAATTTGGCCAGACTGCATCAGCAGTTTACAAACATTCAAAGGAAACTTATTATTTTGAAGATGCCCCCTCCCCTCAATTCCCAGTAAACAGGCCAGACCACATCACAGTAATCTCATGAGTGGGTTCCTTAACGTCCCCTGCCTAACCAAATTAACTAATTAATAGATGCAGGAGCCAATCACACAAATCATATCCCTCTAACTGATCACTTTTTCACTTCTTGTCACCTTTCTGCTTGACGATGTATCAAAATTGTGCAGAGAAATTCATGCTTTGTCATTCCTGGAGTAAAAGGGATAAATGTAGTTAAATAAATGAAAAGACTATTCAATTCTTCACTTGTTACCTCACATCTTCAGTCATCTTATTGACAAAATCTGGAAAGAATGTTTTGAAGAAAGCACTCTGCTGAAACTTTTTCACAAGCTGAATGACTGGGTGTGGCATATTTCTCTGGGCACCAGAGCAAATCTTGTCAACAATGGATAAAATCTGCACAGCCATTGTTGTGTCATACTGTTCTTTGGAACGTTCCAGGATATAGTCCCATACTGCAGTACATCTAAGAGTAGCACACAAAATCAGTAGGTCATGCCAGAAAATTGGTTGTAATTTAAGGTCCCTCAATAAATTAATTAGGAAATTGTGATGCAGTTCTGCTTTTTAACTCCCAAAATCTGATTGTAAGTTGAGGTATTATCATAACCTGTTTGCTGAATAATAAATGGCTATTATGAGGAGAAGTTACATGTTATTCACTCCAGGGAGTTTAAGAGTATTCTCTGAGAAAGTGAAGCTAAGTTGGAAATGAAAATTTTTAACCCCCCTTAAATTTTTGGGTGGAGGTAGGTTACCTGTGGGGATAAACATAAACAACCATACTTGGATCGGCAGTCTGTATCATTGCCATCGTAACAGCACTCGATGATGTCAGCCTCAGGACCATGTTTTGAGCAAAAGTTCCGCTCTCAAAAAGTAAAAGTAAACAAGTCTGGTTCTCAGATGCATGTGAACCAATTCAAATGAAATTCGTACAGATGGTAGAGTCACTCTCCCAGTTTATTCAAGTTTATTCAATTTTGCATCACAATATTTTAGGTTCTATCAACAAGAAGAAAATGCTTGTCTTACTATGTTCCCTGTCAACAATTAGACACACAGGAAAAACAAGCATGACCACGTTCGTAGTTTCTCCGAAAGTGCTCTTTCCACATAAACCAAATTAGCAGCAGAGATTACACGGATATTGACGTTTCTAAATATCATAAAATCAATTTGGGGAAAGTAATTTTGAGGGTGCTAGTATTTGGCTCAAACAGGCTTTAGAGAGACAAAATCAGCTTCAAAAGTATCTTTTATCATCTTGTCTGTCAACTACATTTAGTTGATAAGGTTTTGGCCAACGAATTTGATGAAATATAAATTGATATAAAACTTACCTCGAAGGTTTTGGGAAGTTCTTCAGGATGCTTTCATTGCATGGTTCTCTCCAGTGTCTCTCCTTCGCTCGCTCTATTTTCTTGACCAAATCTAGCGCAGACTCTAATCTAATGGTTACTCCCACCAAATATCCAGCTTCCCGTGTTTTAGACCAAAGATAATGATACAAGTAGCCCACATACACTTGACAAAGAATAGTTGACATGGTCAAAACATGGTCGAAATACTTGCAGTTTCTGCCGTTGAGCACTAGAATTAATCAATATTGTTGACTAGGAAGTAAATTAAATGTGTCGAGATCAATATACAAAGCAAATGCATGCCTTTGAACAATCCAAAGTAATGTCTTTGGCTAAAATCAAGTCAGATGTTGCGACAGTCGATTGAACACATAGGCCGGAAGTCTGAGAAGCATGACTGTTGACAGGATGTAACACAATGTAATGGGATGTAACACAGGATGTATGTGTGATAATATTCCCTTGTTACTTGTTATGGGGTTGTTTTACAATGGCAATGCTGATAAAAAGACACCCCCCCCCCCCTTAAAAGAAAAAAAAAAGACGAAAACCAAAAAACCAGAGCATCAAAGAAAAATTAAACGTTGAGCAATCTCAGACCCTGGGAAACTGGGAAAAGGGTTGAAATGTTTGGGTGCTACAGGGATGAGTTTTCCTGTTATCTTCTTGGCATACGGGGACTGGTCTTTTACCACTTCAGGCGGTACTTCACAGTTTTTGCACCGGCCCCTCCAGTAAATCCCCAGATGATCTCAGTGATGTTGACAAATATCAAGGGAGCTTGCTTCATTGTGATTAACATAAAAAAGTCCTAGTAAAAATGTAAGCATTTAGGCATATCCAGTAGCTTGATGCAAACAGACTTAGAAACAGTGCAACAACAATGTAACCATACACAAAGAAAACCATGATAGTTTCTTAAACAAATGCTGAGAATATGCATCATAAAATAAATCTAACAAAAAAACAAAGTCAATGAAGCTGAACTGAAGCTTGGGTGAAAATTGAATGCATGATCATAATAGCTGCACCCAAAATTAAAAAAAAATGCTTTTTAGACTGTGAAAATGCAATTACAAATTCAGTTATGATTAACTATTCGTGACAAAAGCATGAAGAATTTGCATGTGAAATGTTACATGCATTTACCTGCATGGCAAAGAATTAGATCCATTTTGTTGCTGATTTCATCACGGTTTATGGCCTGGAAATATCCCTTTGACATTTACTGAGTTTTATATTGTTTCCAATGCATTCACAAACGTCCCCTTTGGGATTTAAAAAAGAACAACTTTCCATTGTCCTAAACAGGATATTTTCATTCCCATGACAATATGCAAATTACCCTTACAGTGTTATTTATCAACGGCACAAATTTACTTCCAGTCACCCCTTCCCCCACCAAAAGTTTAAGTTAAGTTAAGTTTGGATACAATGAATATATGAAGTTCATATATTTTGAACTTCATATATTCACTGTATCTGATTTATCACTTTCACGGGTTTATTACGAATCAACTGAACGGCCTGCTCCCAGTTGGCTTGTTAGCTCAATTGGTAGAGCGTTGCACTAGTATTGCAGAGGTCAGTGGTTCGAATCCTGTACAGGCCTGATTTTTTTCAGGTCTGATTTTCGCTATTGCATAAATAGCGCTGTCTACTGCGAGGATCGTGCATCATACATAAGTTAAGTTTATTGCTTATTGTCTTTACGTGGGGCATGGTTACCCACATTGCCCGAGCCAGAGGCTCGTGTATGAAGACAGCAACCCACCCATCCCACCCCAGGGGAGGACATCCATGACACAGTAATCTCATGTGTGGGAAATAAACGTCTCCTACCCCTAGCCCTGNACTCAATACAAGGGCTCAAACATCAAAAGATGGACCCACCTATAAAATTAAAAAATAAATTCAATATTAAACTCTTACTGGGTTCACGAATCTCTTCCACAACTGGTATCAAGGGAAGATCTTTCCACTGCAAAGCCTGAATGTCTTCACCCCCTTGAGGCACCTCTAAGGCAATAATGGATGACAGCTTGGTTAGAAAATCTATAGCTGCTCGTCCATTCTCTATGGCTGTTTCTAAGTTGGTGGAGTTGTCCACTAGCTTATACAAAAGAACTTTAGCCATTGGTAAAACATGTGGACCAGCAGCAAGAAAGGCACTGATGACATGTTCCAGAATCCACTGAACCAAGCTGAAAATTTAACAATTGACAATTAATTGGGAAGAAAATGTAAAATATTACATTCACTGTAATTAAATAAAATTAAATTATCCTTTCCTCTCATCACCACAAGCTTATTATCAGAAAGAAGGTGACAATGTATCATCTGTAGCTGACATGTACCAAATACAAAAGAGAAATTGAAAATAAAGAACCTCATTATAATATAAAATTTAGAAACAATCTGCTAGCATACAAGAAAAAAATTCAGTAAAGGATCTTTAAATCGTAAGCCTTGCACTCCCAAGATCTAAATAGTGATTCTCCACACTGTTTGTCACTCTTCCCTCATAATTTTAGTTCTAAGAATTTAGTAGCCAATAATAATAATAATGATAATTTAATATTTATATTGTGCAAATTAACATGTGGATATGATCAAATGCGCATCACAACACTTTTAGAGGGAATTTGGCCGGACTACATCAGCACTTTACAAACATTCGAAGGAAACTTATTATTTTGAAGATGCCCCCTCCCCTCAATTCCCAGTAAACAGGCCAGACCACATCACAGTAATCTCGTGAGTGGGTTCCTTAAAGTCCCCTGCCTAACCAAATTAACTAATTAATAGATGCAGGAGCCAATCACACAAATCATATCCCTCTAGCTGATCACTTTTTCACTTCTTGTCACCTTTCTGCTTGATGATGTATCAAAATAGTGCAGAGAAATTCATGCTTTGTCATTCCTGGAGTAAAAGGGATAAATGTATTGAAATAATTGAAAAGACTTAAATTTTTCACTTGTTACCTCACATCTTCAGTCATCTCATTGATAAAATCTGGAAAGAATGTTTTGAAGAAAGCACTCTGCTGAAACTTTTTCACAAGCTGAATGACTGTGTGTGACATATTTTTCTGGGCACCAGAGCAAATCTTGTCAACAATGGATAAAATCTGCACAGCCATTGTTGTGTCATACTGTTCTTTGGAACGTTCCAGGATGTAGTCCCATACTGCAGTACATCTAAAAGTGGCACACAAAAATTAATCAGTAGGTCATACCAGAAAATTGGTTGTAATTTAAGGTCCCTCAATAAATTAATTAGGAAATTGTGATGCAGTTCTGCTTTTTAACTCCCAAAATCTGATTGTAAGTTGAAGTATTATTGTTACCTGTTTGCTGAATAATAAATGGCTATTATGAGGAGAAGTTACATGTTATTCACTCCAGGGAGTTTAAGAGTAATTCTCTGAGAAAGTGAAGCTAAGTTGGAAATGAAAATTTTTAACCACCCTTAAATTTTTGGATGGAGGTAGGTTACCTGGGAGGATAAACAAAAACAACCATATTTGGATTGGCAGATGTATCATTTCCATGGTAACCACACTAGGTGAGGTCAGCCTCAGGACCATGTTTTGAGCAAAAGTTGCACTCTCAAAAAGTAAAAGTAAACGAGCCTGGTTCTTGGATGCATGTGAACCAATTCAAATGAAATTCATACAGATGGTAGAACCACTCTCCCAGTTTATTAAATTTTCCATTAAAATATTTTGGGTCCTATCAACAAGAAGAAAATGCTCGTCTTACTATGTTCCCTGTCAACCATTAGACACACAGGAAAAACAAGCACAACCACATTCATAATTTCTCCGAAAGTGCTCTTTCCACATAAACCAAATTAGCAGCAGAGATTACATGGATATTGACGTTTCTAAATATCATAAAATCAATTTTGGGAAAGAAATTTTGAGGGCTCTAGTATTTGGCTCAAACAGGCTTTAGAGAGACAAAATCAGCTTCAAAAGTATCTTTTATCATCTTGTCTGTTACATGTAACTAGATTTAGTTGATAAGGTTTTGGTCAACAAATTTGATGAAATATAAATTGATACAAAACCTACCTCGAAGGTTTTGGGAATTTCCTCAGGATGCTTTCGTCAAGGGGTTCTCTCCAGTCTCTCCTTCGCTCGCTCCATTTTCTTGACCAAATCTAGCACAGACTTTAATCTAACGGTTACTCCCATCGATTATCCAGTTTGCCGTGTTTTAGACTAGAGATGACGATACAAGTAGCCTACATACACTTGATAATGAAGAGTTGACATGGTCAAAACATGGTCGAAATACTTGCGATTTCTGCTGTCAAGCACCCAAATTAATCAATATTGTTGACTAGAAGTAAATTAAATGTGTCAAGATCAATGTACAAAGCAAATGCATGCCTCTGAACGATCCAAAGTAACGTCTTTGGCTAAAATCCAGTCAGATGTTGCGACAGTCGATTGAACGCATAGGCTGGAAGTCCAAGAAGCATAACTGCTGACCAGATGTAACACAACGTAATGGGATGTAACACTGGATGTATGTGTGATAATATCCGCTTGTTACTTGTTATGGGGTTGTTTTACAATGGCAATGGTGAAGAAAGACCCCCCCCCACACAAAAAAAAAACCACAAAAAAAACAAAAACAAAAAAAGAAAAAAAACAAAACAAAAGACGAAAATGGAAAAACCAGAACACCAAAGAAAAATTAAACGTTGAGCAATCTCCTACCCTGAGAAACTGGGAACAGGGTTGAAATGTTTGGGTGCTACTGGGATGAGTTTTCCTGTTATCTTCTTGATATACTGGGATTGGTCTTTTACCAATTCAGGTCACTATGAACTGTAGTTTTGTGAAAATTCCATGAATTTCTAGTGAAAAACCCATGAAAATTATTTCATGGCCCATGAATACTCCAAAATGAAAATTCATGGAGTTATTTTAAGCCCTGAATTTTCCATGAATTAGGGGAGTTTTTTTCATGACCCATGAAATTCTTTTAAGTCTACTTTCATGACCCATGAATTTTCCCTGAAAGTCACTGGAATGAATTCCACGACCCATTAATTTCTTTAAAAGCCTACTTTCATGACCCATGAATTTTTTTGTCTACTTTCATGACCCATGAATTTCCCCTGAAAGTCCCCAGAATGAATTCCATGACTCGTTAATTTCTTTAAAAGCCTACCCATGAATAATTCCAAGAAATTCTCAATATCTTGAATGTAAAGATTTTAGTCTACCTTCATGACCCATTAATTTCTTTTAAAGTGCACCTAAACCCAAAAATTTTTTCGCTTAACAAAATAAGCATATTTTTTTGGAGTATTTCTGTGCAAAAATTTTTCT